GGGGATGGGTCAACTCCAAGGCTCCTCCTAGTGCCTCCTCCTACAAACTCTTAGATCTGGGGACCTTAGAGCAGAGACTGAAACTCTGAAGCCAGAAGAGCTGGGTAGGAAGTATTGCTAGGATGTGCAGAAACTCCCTGGCCCCACAACTGAAGGTTCTCCTTATACTTGTACCTGAAACTCTCAGGGCACATTGTGGTGGGAAATGTGGAAATGTATTTCTTCCCTCTTCTGCACAATAGCATGCTGTGTATATGTACTCTAATTATTTTTTGTTTGTTTGTTTGTTTTTAGAGAGAGATTTTGGCTATAGGGTACATGCACTGGCCAGAGAGACAGAGAGACAGAAAGCAAGAAATCACCACCCTGGGGGGATGGCCATGCTACAATCCCCTCTCCTCTAGTCTCCTCTTGGGATTTTTGGGCACCCATGCACACTCTCTGATGTGAGTTTGAAGACACCAAGTCTAGGACTGGAACCATGGTCAAACATGTGGGAGTCCAGCGACGTAACCATTATGCCAATTGCTGGTCCCTCCATCCCCATTTCACAGAAGAGGAAACTGAGGACTAGTAAGCAACTGCCCAAGGTTCTACAGTACAATTGCACAGTGAAATGTTATTTTTTTTTTTACAAAAATTATGTCTTTTCTTTCATCAACTACATATATATTTTATAATCTTGCCTTCTGATTTATTCTGGGTGCCAAAAGCCCTAGGTCTTAAACATGGAACTTTTGCAAGACCCTTGAATACCTTCCACTGAGAAAAAGATGCACTCCATCTCTTTAACACACATAGTAAATGAGGTATTTCATTTATCTAGTTGCATAATTACAAAAGGTAGAACTCAAACTATCTGATTCACAATTTTCAGCATGATGTAGTGAGCGGTGTTCAACACCCAGGTGTCTTACTAAGGCACTTGTCAAATGCCATTTTGAAAACAGAATTAGAAAACCTCACGATGGCCTGCCAAACTGCTCCGGCCTTGAACTGCAAGTTGCATGAGTAATGCCGATGGCTGGGTCTTGGTTTTGTGGGAGGAAATCTTACAGAAAGAGAGTTCTTTTTGAACCAGGTGGTTGTTGTACCTGTGAGTAATGAGCACTGAATCCCGTCTGAGACATTTCCATTTCAAACGAAGCTGCTGACTGGTCGGCTGTAGCTGAAACATGAGAAAACAGCACAGTAAACAACGAATGGCGTGTTTTAGTGCACTGCTGACTTGCAGGACGTAGAGACCTGGTAGAGACCGTGTTCTCTCCACGCACAACTTATAATGCCTTGGGGCACTATCAGCCACAATTCTGAACCCAGCAGTCCTAGGTAGAGCAGGGAAGAAGACACAGGAGGATAGAGGAAGAGCCAGAACCTCGCTCTTCAGCTTCCCCATGTTGCTGCAGGAGTTGAGAAATGTCCGTTATTACCCTGAAACCTGCTTGCAGCTCCCTATGGTGCTTTGAAGTCACCTGGTTCAAGCTGGAAAATGCCATAGTCAGAAACCTTGTTCTCATCCTCATGCCCTGGAAACCCCGCTGAGACTTTAGGCTCAACTCATTCAGTGTGTTACAGGGCTGAAACATTTCATTCACAGAATTAAAGAGATTGGTGCACGCCACCAGTCTACTCACATTTTGGGTCATAGATTCTCTCAGAATCCCATGTTTGATAAATGGTTTAGGGATTCCAGTTAGCATTTGCTGTCATTGTGCGGGTATCAACTCACAGATCAGGAGGTACTTCTTCAAAGGGCTCCAGGCCACCTGCCACTCAACCCCATATTTTTAAAGGATTCTATACACTCTTTAAAGTACTTTAGTACAAGGCAAAATAATCCAGAGAATTTTATGGACGTGTGCTACTTTCAAGTTCTTCTCAAAATATTCATAAATACAAAGCCACAATTTCCAGAGGGAATGGAAGGAATGTTGATTTATTTTCCTCCAGTATGGAGTTACTGATTTATTAGACCTCAGAGATAAGTTAAAATTAGCACATAATTTTGAGAAAGTCAGCCTGACCTTTCACTGAGGCATGAAAATAATCAAATTTGTGAAATAAAACTAATTTACTAGATATTTAGTAGCAGAAAATTGTAAACAAATACATTAGTAATTGCTTTTTTATAGGATTAGATTAGATGAGTCAATCAATCAATCAAGAATTAGACTGTATCATTTTCATCTCTCATAGAAACTGGTCTCTAATTTAGGGGATTGACATGCATTTTTTTTAAAAGAGAATTCTGCTATAGGACATGCATGTTCACCAGAGACACAGAGAAAGACAGAGACAGAGAAAGTGAGAATCACCCCTCCACACACCCCAGTAGGAATGAGCAGGTTGCAATCTCTTCTTCTCCATTCTCCTCTTGGGATTTTAGGGACGCATGCACTTGTGCCCAGCGTGAGTTTCAAGTCGCCAATCCCAGACTCTAACTGTGGTTGGCCATGTGGGAGTTGAGTGCCTTGACCATTACACCACCACCTCGTCCCTTAACATGCACTTTTATATATTTATATATATATATATATATAGTTTGAAATGAATATGAGCTTCAAGAAAACTGACATAGCATCTGTTCTGTGCCACAGCTGCACCCCTAGTATCTTGACAATGGCTGACATAAAATACATGCTCAATAAATATTTGTTGAATAAATGGAGAGCAACATCAAAAATTTTAAATGACTACAGCTAATATAGGATCACTCTGTCGTCTCTTCTAACTCTGCTGTATTCGTAGACAATTTTATATAGTCGATTTTACCATGATCATTTCATTGTTCTATAAGTATTATTTTTATATCAGAATCTTATTTGCCATGCCCACTCTCTTCTCTTAATATAAGAAAAAATTTATCAATTTTATGAAAGCTTCCTTTTTCAACCTAGTAGTTTTATAGATTTAATGAGGTTTTTGGGAACCAGCAGTTAGCGTAATGGCTATGTCGCTGGACTCCCACGTAGTCGACCGCGGTTCGCGTCCCAGACCTGGTGGCTTAAAACTCACTCTGGGTGCGTGTGCGTGCATGCCCAAGATCCCGAGAGGAGAATGGAGGAGAAGGGATTGCAGCGTGACCGTCCCCCCTGGGGGGTGATTTCTTGCTTTCTGTCTCTATGTCTCTCTCTCTGTCTGTCTGGCGAGCGCACGCGCCCTATAGCGAAAATCTCTCCAAAAAAAAAAAAAGAAAGAAAGAAAAATACAAAAAAATAAATCTGAAAAACATGGGGCCAACAGGTGGCATGATGTACTCCCATATGGCCAATTGCAATTCAAGTCCCAGACCCAGTGGCTTGAAAATCACACCAGGTGGGAGCTAGCAGGTGGCAAAGTGGTTAAGGCACTGGACTCCCACATGGTCAACCACAGTTCCAGTCCCAGACCCAGCAGATTGAAACTCATGCTGGGCATGTATGTGTGTGCCCCAAATCCCAAGATAAGAATAAAGGAGAAGAGATTACTACAGCATGGCCATTCCCCCAAGGAATGATTTCTTGCTTTCTTTCTCTGTGCCTCTCTCTTGTCTCTTTGGCAAGCACACAAGCCCTATAGCAAAAGTCTCTCTTTAAAAACAACAACAACAACAACAACTTTTTTTTTTTTAAATCTCCTTATTGCTCGCCCAAAATCCTGAGAGGAGGATGGAAGAGAACGAACTGTGGCATGGCCATCCCCCTGGATGGTGGTTTCTCACTTTCCCTCTCTCTCTGTCTCTCTCCAGTGAATGCATGTGTCCTATGGCAAAAACCTAAAAAAAAAAAAAAAAAATCTGAAAGATAGTCAGCTTTTATAAACAATATAATGGAGACTTTTACCAGTCATACCATAATCTAGAGACAGTAACTTTTTAATTCCTCCAGCTAGGTAAGAGAGTACTAACTGATAAAAAGATGTGGATACGTGCGTGGAGACTTCAAAAAGTTTGTGGAGAAATGGAATTAAAGTATGAGCTAATTTTGGTGCAATTTTGATCTCTATACAAAGAGATCTGGGCCAGCTATGGCATGGTGGTTAAGGGGCTGGATACTATATGGCCACAAGTATGGTTTGAGTCCTGGTCCCAGAGGCTTGAAAGACATTTGGGTACATGTGTATGCATCCCCAAAATTCCAAAAGGAAAATGGAAAAGGGACTGTGGTGTGGCCTTCTCCCCTGGGAGGGGGTAATTTCTCCCCCCTCACCACCCCTCTCTCTCCAGTCAGCACATGTATCCTATAGTAAAAAAAAAAGGACCAGCAAATGGCATAATGGTTATGTTGCTGGATTCCCACGAAGTCAACAGTAGTTTGGGTCCTGGACCTGGCAGCTTAAAAAATTCATACTAGGCACGTGTGCACATGTGCCCAAAATCCCAAGAGGAGACTGAAGGAGGAGGGATTGTGGTGTGGCCATTCCCCCGGGGGTTGATTTCTTGCTTTCTATCTTTCTGTCTCTGGTGAGCACATGTACCCTATAGCAAAAATCTTTCTTAGGAAAAAAAGAAAGAAAAAAAGATTGAGATCCATGCTTTGTTTTTTTCATAATACACATTTTCTGTGAATTATGATTTTTTTACACAAATTAATTTATTTATTTAAGAAGTGAGAGACACACACAAAGAGAGAAAGAGAGAGAGATACAGAGTCCCAGTATAGCTGTCCACCGCCCCCCCTCCCCCCAACCCAGCCAGCCCTGGATCATGGGCACATGCATAACTGACATTCTCAGGGAAGACCTGAAACCTTCCCACGTGAGTCAGCCCCTTAGAGCATTGTGTTTCATACCACTGCTCCACAATCCAGCCCTCAGCCTGAACTTTTTGAAGAATCCTCCTATTAGTTCAAGATCTAAACATACTGAGGGTCGTATAGTATTCATTACTTTATTTTAGGAACAGTTCAAGTCACGTGATCATAATTCATCTTTAAAAAATCTCAAACCTGAAAACATTAGGGTAGTGCTTGTAAGTTAGCATCATTGACTAAGAATTACACTGCATGAGGGAATATACTTACTGGGATGCAGTGTTGGGACATGCTGTCCAAGTCTGTCATCTTTTAGCATGTGTAGCAATGTTGTCTTTCCCGCATTATCCAATCCAAGAAATACCAATTTACCAGTTTTCTTATATAATCCTGCAGAATAAGAACTATGATTAGTCAAAGTGATATCTGACAGAGACTATGAAAATAACTTTAAATTTGGTTCCAAATAAGATTAGATTTCTAAATCTATTTTCAGTATTAAAAGAGCTACTTAAAATCTATTCATGATTTGGGTCTTCAAATAGTTTATAACTACTGGGGCTAGCAGGTGGCATGGTGGATAAAGGCACTGAACTCTCACATGGCTGACTGTGATTTAAGTCTTGGACCTGGCAGCTTGCTTTCTTCTTTTTACTTTTTCTTTTTTTTGGAGAGGTTTTTTCGCTATAGGGCGCGTGCGCTCGCCAGACAGACAGAGACATAGAGACAGAAAGCGAGAAATCACCCCCCAGGGGGGACAGTCACGCCACAATCCCTTCTCCTCCATTCTCCTCTCGGGATCTTGGGCACTCATGCACACGCACCTGGCGATCTGTGGCCCTCATGCACACCCCCCTGGCGTGAGTTTTAATCCACCGGGTCTGGGACGCGAACCGTGGTCAACTACGTGGGAGTCCAGCGACATAGCCATTACGCTAACTGCTGGTTCCCCTGGCAGCTTGCTTTCTCACTTTTCCTTTCTCTCTTTCTCTGTCTGGTCAAATTAAAGACATAATAATAACAAATGGAATTAAATAAATAAATAATTCTTTTAAAAGAGAGAGAAAAAATTATAATTATTATAAGTAAACTTGGCCCCAGTCAATAAGAACGTGTGTGTTGCCTATGCCTACCTACAATGCCAAAACACTGAATTCCTTGAGAATTTAGGAGTAAATACCTGTGTCCTCTACTAGGAAAACATTCATAAAATACTTGACGAATTTATGAAGCTAGACTTACGGAAACATTTAAAGAGATTTTTCATGGATGAAAATACGTATTTTTTAGATGGTTCTCATCATGTTGGAAGTATTGCCTATGAATCTGTGATCCTTCTGCCTCAGCCTCCTGAGCAGTTGGCCACCATGCCCAGCTGCCTAGGGTGGGCTGAGAATTGAACTTGGGCCTTTCAGGTGGCCTCAACCTGCTGAGTAGCAGTGTTTAACAGTGTGCGCTACTGCAGCTGGGCCAATTAAGTATTTTTTAACTACATTTAAAGTTTTCTTAGTCAAAAAGTTATGTAGTTTGTTGTCAAATTTCCCTGAGAATAGGGTTAATCTATTCATCACAAGATTAAAAAAAAAAAAAACTAAGCAACAACAATGACAAAAAAACTCAAACATAATTTTAGAAGAATCAATCAGGCATCACTGATAGATAGATAAATTAATAAATAGACAAAAGGCAGCACTGACCAACTTATAGTGGCCCGACATTTAATTGCCAAATTTGATAATGAACTTTAATTTTTATGTGTTTCATGGTTCAATCCCACAGGATTACATAAAGACAAGGGAACTATTTTGACTCATAGTAGCAAGTCCAACAAATATTTACTCAACCAATAAGCAAACTTTTAAAGATATTAAGTAATGATAGTGGTTAAACCATCCACTTTCTTTTTTATTTATTGTTATTTTTTAATTTGTTATAGGACATGTGTGCTCACCAGAGAGAGAAAGAGGCAAAGTGAGAATGTGAGCTGCCAGGTCCAGAACTGGAACCATGGTCAGCCATGTGAGCCTTAATTCCCAAACCATCTGCTGGCCAAAATCATCCATTTTCTAACAAATGCATGCCACCTAATACTTGATCTACATTAAGTCTAATGGATAAATTGTTTAAATTTCCTATAAAGAGTGTGTGCAGGGGGACCAGCAGTTAGCACAATGGCTACATCACTGGACTCCCACATAGTTGACTGTGGTTTGAGTCTGGAGCCGGCGGCTTAAACTCACGCCGGACGTGTGTGCGTGTGTGCTCAAGGTCCTGAGAGGAGAATGGAGGAGAAGGGATTGCGGC